AAGCAGTGGTATCAACGCAGAGTACTCGGACAGTTTAAATTGTACGTTCAAATAAGGAAGCCAGCCGTCAGCGGGTTGTTCACGCGTAAATCTTATGTATTGCGACTGTTGGTTTAACAAGCGAAAACACTCGTCCATTTCGCAGTGGTATCAACGCAGAGTACTCATCTATGTACCGGCAATACATAAGAGGAAGTCTTAACAACACCGGATTCTCGATTTTACTCATAAAAGTTGAAGTTGGACACACCAAGTTGCCCCGTATTTTACAGCCTCATTAAGACACACAAGCTTGCTGAAACCGATAATACGCGCTTGATGGCACCCGGACAGTTTAAAATAAGACCTATCATCAGCTGTGTTGGAGGACCAACCGACAGGATTTCTTGGTTTTTAAATAAAATTGTATGTCAGCTGCTGGCCAAGATACCGTCCCACTTGTCAAATACTAACCAATTTCTCGAACGTCTACATAACGCTAAGTTCAACAGCGGATGCGTAACTGAGTCATTTGATGTGGTATCGCTGTATACCAATGTTCAAAATGACGACGCATTACAAGCGTTATCGGAAATGTTGGATAGTTTTGGCGAGAACATCCAGACTTTCGGGCTGAGCAAGAAGTATATTATGATACTGATCAAGGAGTGTTTGAGCTGTAACATCTTTAGATGGTCAGGATCATACTTCACCCAGCTGAGAGGTCTAGCGATGGGACAGAGACTTGCGCCAGTCCTCGCAATATGTTTTATGAGTAAAATCGAGAATCCGGTGTTGTTAAGACTTCCTCTTATGTATTGCCGGTACATAGATGACTGTTGTGTAATAACATCTACACAGTCCGAAATGGACGAGTGTTTTCGCTTGTTAAACCAACAGTCGCAATACATAAGATTTACGCGTGAACAACCCGCTGACGGCTGGCTTCCTTATTTGAACGTACAATTTAAACTGTCCGGATGCCATGCAATTGTTAAATGGTATCGTAAAAACAGCTCAAAGAACATCATACTTCATGCTCGCTCTGCTCATCCATCTGCAGTAAAACATGCTGTGGTCCATAATATGTTTAAAACTGCAACACAGGTCTGTAGAGGAGAGAAGGAAAAGGCAGAATCGCGAAGTCTAGCATTGGATATCGCTCGGGCAAATGGTTATCTGATGCATCATATGCACAGTAATCCGTGTAAAACCCGCAACATCGTTCAATGCAAGGACAAAATACCTCTCTGTCTGCCCTTCATTTCAGATAAAGTTAGTGTTGCTATACGACACAGCATCAGGCGAGCACGATTGAACGACGATGTCATTTTAGTGGATATACCAAGCGATAACATCAAGAAGCGGCTTGTACGAAATAGGCTGTACGATAGATTTTGTATCTCAAAAGAGTGCATAATCTGTCCTTACGGTAAGGTCGGCGACTGTGGAAAAGTAGGAGTGATATATCAGCTTGAGTGTTTTGAATGCGGCGCCACCTACATTGGAGAAACAGGGAGGGCACTTGGTGTGAGAATAAAAGAACATTTGGCCAACAAAAGGCGTATTAGTCTCAATTCACCGTTAGGGAAACATAGACATGAGGTGCATGGTGATAAAGACTACGAAGTTAAATGTTTGATTTTGGCTTGCGAGACCGACACTTCTGCGCGGAAAGCTCTCGAAGCATTCTGGATCTCGCAGAGAAACCCTATTATGAACAACCGAAAGGAGTGTTTAACGATTACGAATGACTTGATGCCGTTCTTAGCGTTGTGTGAGCTATAATGTAGTGCTACTATGCATAATATCAAGCTGCCTAGTGTAGTTCATTGGCACTACTGACACGTCAGAACGGGTTGCACAGTACCACCAGTGCACCATTGGTGAAGCGGCGCTGAGGTTGGTTCGTCTTCCTCTTTATGCGAATTTTCTTGTGAAATCGGAGGGGGGAACGCAACTAGCCGGAGGGTGATAAGGCATTTGGTGGGATAAGCATAAGATCTAAATCTCGCACCACTCTAGGCCTCTGAAGACGACGATAAGTCGAAACGTAAGGCCGCACTAATAAAAGGCTTCACCAAACCTCGTATTGGCATAACAAGATTAACATCATAATGTCTCAGTCTTAGTGCTCTTTGGAACCAACAAATTATAATCATATCTGCCGACAGATAGCCGCAAGTTCTCCTTTATCGACCTTCATTAGAAAAGTGTGTGACGCCGGTTGCAACGAACTAGTCTTTCAGATTCGTGTACAACTATAATAATTACCTACCTGGTAAAGTAGGAGCACAGGCTAAAAGAAAGCCTGGAAGAATTGAAAGAGAGATTACTGCAAACATTACTGCAGTTCTGACTGTTGCTGAAAATAAACAGTTATTTATAGGGTTGCTATATTTACAAACATTGCTGCATTCCATATTTTAAAATGCTTCATTATTTCGAAACGAATATGTAATGCTTCTTCGTCATCACATCTGCGACTAATCATCAAAACATTACATTTGCCCTTGAAATAGCATTCTCACATTGTTATTAAAAACTGCTTTTGTCGATTTTTAGCAACCCTGTAATTCCGACCACTCTGCCGATGTTACTGGTGCTGCCATTTTACGCTTGAATTTTGCGAATATCGGCACCGCTAGAGCATTATTTTTTATTTCCTTTATTATTACACTCGAGATTCATCAAACAGGAAAGAAGGACTCAAAGAGAGTAAAACACACGAGACCAGTCAGTCTCAGCCTCCGGGCGCAAAGGAAGACTAAGGATGGATAACAAGACTCGGCTCTACAAAGTTGACGAAGCTCTAGACCCATCTAACGAAGAAAAAGAACGTGTACTAATAAACTTGATTGAGGACGCTACTAGACTGTATATGAGGTTGTTTTTGGGATCTTGCTTATCCAACTCTGTGTCACTATCAACTTTATTTGCTCGTAAAAATGGTGAGCCAAATGTGCCCTCCTTAGGATATGTAAATGCCACCACATCGCAGTCGTTGGAGAGTTCGATACTGGAATAAGTGCTAATACCGCTCTGTAAGATTTCGTTATTGTTTCGAGATTGAAGGCAGCGTCCGGGCAAAAACAAAAATGTAGAGTACAGGGTCGCCCGTCCTGGTAAGGCTCTTGCCCAACTGGCAATGCACCAATTTGCTTCTGAAGCGAGATAACCGCTTCAGAAGTGGCGACCGGAACGCCTGGGAGACCGTGGACGAGTTAGTTCGATAAGCCAGAGTGCGCATACCGCACACAGTCAAGATGTAGGGTCCCACAAAGACTCTGCGTCTTAATGTTAGCGGCAAGCGACAAAATTTAAATTAAGAGCTTCTGGGAAAGCCCGTTTTCGACGTTTTCGTGCTCTTCGAGGTGCATTTTCGGAATGAGCGGGAGGGATAAGCCCAGGTAAGCGAAAAAAATTCCATCCGAAATCTTGCCCGGACGCTGCCTTTAAGTCCCAGATTTTCTGAAGCTGTCACTCTTGAACCTGCGCTCATTTTATGTTGTCCGAAACATATATCTTGAAGCTTTTGAACCGCGCAAGGCGAAGCCGTACTTGTTGTTAATACGGGCTTTAATCTAGTCAGTAGTCAATGGGTTAGTCAATAAAGTGATCTCATCTTGCTAAATGATTATCATATTTACCGTAATACTATAGTATTGTATTCAATCGAACAACAACAACAAGCAAATGAAAGATGCGCATTGCCGCACTCTTTTGCAAGTTTTATTCGATTTGTCATTGTAGATCCTAAACATATATCAGTGGCACAGCTAGCTCAGTAAGGTTATCTCAAAAGTAGAAATCTAGGCCTCTAGCTAGTTATCCTTGGACTACCATAGTAAGACAAGGCAATTTCAAAGACACTCCCCTCGTTCTTCCAGCTCTTTATCTGAAACCATAGGATTATCCTGGAGACCTGTAAACTTCTAAAAATTTTTTGCACCCCTTTTCACCAGTACTGCATATGATGGAGCCTAGATATGCTATATATTACCTCAAAACAAAGTACAAGAAGGTTCTGATGACCTTTTGACCATTCGCTGCTGTTCATCTATAGAAGTTATGCATTTCAACATATTTGTCAAAGCAATTTATGAAACATTCAGTGTTGTAGCACGATCTGCCAAGTGCCAAACTCGATATGGGATCAAGCAAGGAAAAATGTTAATTTTCTATGTATACCTGCTTTTGCTAGAAAGTCTTTACGAGTATGATCGACACCTCCTTACCTTTTACTGTCTTCTCACTCATCGTTCTCTGCAGATATATCTAAAGTCATAGTTGTACGATTACTTTCAAAGTAAAGTCACATATTTCGTAATGTAACTGAAATTCACCCTGAATGTTTTTGATGCTCCTTGCCGAGCATTTATCCTAGGAACAAGAAATTAAAAGGCTACCGCTTACATCATTCGTCAGATTGTAGTGATTCTATCTTGATTGTTATTCTGTCAATCATTCGCAGGACTTGATATCTCTCATAGCAGAAATAACCTCGTAATGAATATCGGTTTTTAGAACGACCATTTTGTAAAAAGGATTTTTTTAGGGATGACTTAATACTAGTCGGACAGAGCACATTTTGCGATGCAGTAGCTTTTTCCTATCTCTCCAGCCCACTTTGTACATTCTTTCAATTTTTAATAAAATCTATAAGAAGATCATTACGGTGTGCCTGGCAAACTTATGAGTGGAGCAATTTATTGCTAATTCCATGCTCAGAATCAGCAAATCTGATTCAGCTTACAAGGAGTATAGGAGCATGTATGTATAGGAGTCACATAGGAGTATGTATAGGAGTCTAGTAGAGTAGCCTTGTTAGTATAGGAATCTTCAGATTATTCGGTTCCTGTTCTGAGGCAAAATATGCCCCTTATTGGTTTAAACCCTCCTCAAAATTTCTACCGTAACATACAGGAATGAAAAACGAGCGGGGATTCGCTCTATAACTGTACAACTAATGAGATAAAACCACTGAAGAACGGATACCTGTAGATTGACGAAAGGACTAGAGCAAGAAATATAGCGACGATCCGAAGTGAAGATTTTTGGAACACCCTGTATACTGCAATAACTTACAATTTACTCCATATACGCTACTTTTTTGGGATATAGACAGTTCTGAGATCTTCCAAAAATGGATTTTGTTCTGTTTTTTTTTCAGTAACGATTTGATTTTTGAATGAGCGATCATGTCGAGTCTCCTGATCGATGATCGTTCACAACAATTAGAATTTCATATGTGGAGGACAGTAGGAGCATGTGGTAAAACAGCGCGGCTTTATTTTTTTACGACAGTGGCAACATTTGAATGGCTTTATCCAGTCACATAGCAAGACGGCCATAATGCTTTTAGATCAATTGAACATGTGCAAAGGCATTATCGTATGCTCTTAGCTTTTGCTCTGCAACCATTAGTAGACGTCTTCTTTCGCTAGTAAAAAAGCCAACGATGATATCGTTTGTCTGAAAAATCTTAATTTGCATGTGGGTAATGCTTTTACATTGTAGATATTAGGATGAATTTTTACAACATAATCCAACTACTCAGACAACTGACAGGAACTTCCGCAGAAAGTTAAAGCTCCGCCGAGCCACTCGCGAAATTTCCGTAAAAGTGCTGCGGAAGCTCCCAAGTGAGATGCTGCGGAAGTTCCGAAAATTGAGTAGGTGCATGTCATATGGTCACATTATGCATCATCTCGAAGTGGCAATGTTCAACAGTTATGTCTCTTTGGCACTAACAGACGAGGCAACTTTGACGCATTTGACTCCTTCGACTGCTCGGCGCCAGATCTTCATTTCTTTTCAGCCGAATTCTGTTTTGACTGAGCTTGGTAGTTAAACTCTATCAACACATTACATACAAATTCGACTTTTTGAATATTCTAGTTTGTGACGGCTTCATTTTTGCTTTGAAACAGTAAATCTCGAATTTCATCGTTTCTTAAGAATGCAAAGCTTCTTCGATGTTGTTCTCAAATAGCAAGCAATCGAAGCATTATCCTTAGCTCACAACATGATCTACATAGTGCCAAAATTGATCGCGATGCTTCATAAAAGAGTATAGGCTGCTGTATGACAAAGGCGCAATATTCTCGGGAGCAAAGGGGGCTATATTAGCCGTAGAGCGCGTGAGGTGCAAGATTTACAACGGTGAAGACATGCGCGCGCCGGGTTCGCCCCCGCTCAACTAATACTGCTTCTGCGCTTTGTCATGCAGTAGTCTTTAAGGTTATGGAATTTGCTGCGAAGCTTATTCATGAACCTAATATTATTCAAGCACGCGTGATGCTTCCGGAAAACTTAAGATCTCAATGCTGCTGGAACAAAATGATCAGAACTGCACAAGAGATCGCCGCAGTAATGTATAGTTGACTCGTTGACCGCACGGACTGGACATCACTGCGTAGCACGCGTCGCGAGGTAAAACGCTTACCCCAGTGCAAATTCGCCATTGTATTAGGTTGTAACAGAATTAATGCAGGTTTTGAATTTCAACCGCAATAAGTCATACACTTCTCATTTCTAAGTAGGTTGCAAAATACCATTCGATAGAGCAAAGCAATCTCTACAAGGTGGCAATCTTGCTTTAGCAACAACTCTGATCCACCACGAGTTTCGAGCCGAAAAGTAAAAAGATTCAACTGTCCGAAAAAATGAGAAAAATCGTAACTCGGTTCATAAAAAACCTACAAAATTCTAACTTGCTCATGTAAACGCAATTCACATAAGGCATCTATATACGCCGTTGTCGCATTTTTTTCTCTGTTAGAAATTAAGTAAACGAAGTTTTCGTGCATTTGCCAAAGTGTTGCTGTGCCGTTCCCACATAAGTAGTTGTATACTACAAAACTGTAGAAGTACAAACGTAAGTTTTCAGCTCTCTACAGGCTTTAGTTCTCGAGAAATTTGAACTTTAGCTTGGACCACATGACTAGCGAAAACTGTATTCGATATTTTCCGAGAACTAAAGCTTGTAGAGAGCTGGAAACTCACGTTTATACTTCTACAGGTTTGTAGTATACAACTACTTATGTGGGAACGGCACAGCATCACTTCGGCAAACGCACGAAAATTTCCGTTTTCTTGATTTCTAACAGAGAAAAAAATACGGCAAAGGCGTGTATAGATGTCTTATGTGAATAGTGTTTACGTGAGCAAGTTAGAATTTTTGTAGGTTTTTTATGAACCGAGTTACGATTTTTCTCAATTTTGCGGACAGTTGAGTCTTTTTAGTTTTTGGCTCGAAATTCGTGATGGATCAGAGTTGTTGCTAAAGCGAGATAGCCATTTTGTAGAGCTTGCTTTGCTCTATCGAATGATACCTTGCAACCTACTTAGAAATGAGAAGTGTATGACTTATTGCAGTTGGAATTCAAAACCTGCATTAATTCTGTTACAACCTAATACAAGTCATGCTCTCGCAACATTTCAGCCGCGTCGCGCGTGATCCGCAGCGTTTGAACAGTCCGTGCGGTCAACGAATCGACGACAACTTTTATATAGAGCGATTGAAATTTTGACTTACAGTCATTGTTATTTCGGCATGCTTGAAAAGTGGCAAAATTGGCCTCATCGTCTTATCATTCGGATATCCTATAGCATCGACTATGCCGTTCGTCACAGCGCAGCAGTAAGCAGTAGTATCTGGTAATAGTAAATAGAGTCTTGCATTGACTAGACAATGCATCCTTACTGCTGGGACAGTCATCGCCAAAATTTGTCTTTGCATTGCATTGTAATGGCCCGTAAGAAACTCCTACCACAACCGGGTTCAGTTTAAGTATGTGATCAGCCATCAAAGGCATCTTCGCGTAAATCTCTTGCTGGATTGTCTCTATTATCTAGAAATCGGCCATTTCACTTAAACCACTTTAAAGCACATGAACATACCGCTCTTCTGCAGTGAGCCTCGATGAAATACATCACTTCTGCTTCACTCGAAGCTATTCCATCCACTTTTGAGCTATCGCCATAGACGAACTTGATCGGAACCTGTTCTATTTCCACTTTCACACTTACTTGGGTTGGTGCTGCAATGTGATAGCAAACTTCTCATTGCTTTTCATTGAAGCATCTCTTGGTTTCTCTCGCTCAAGAACTTTGTGGCCGAACCAAGGACATCTTTGGTTGGTACCGCTATCAAATTTGTATGGGAGAGACTGCTGTATTCCGAATGTATAAACTCAAAATATCAGATTAAATCTTAGGTTGGCTATTGAATACTATCGTTGAATACTATTGACATGCAACTTCGAAGCTCTATCGCATTCCAAAGTTGTTGTTTAGTAAAATCACATTACAGTTTGCACTTCTCTTCTGACAGTGGGCAATCATGACTTCGTATAGCTAGCCTTCTAAAAGCCAATTTTGTGTCTAAGTTGCGTTTTCAAGCTTTAGTGTGCGCAGAGATGATTTGGTTATAAGATACATGGCCCTTGGCCAACCTATAACCTTTGGCTACATGGCGAATCGCAATGAAGATTGCGACCAGGAGCCGGCACGAGGTGGGCAAATGTCAGGCTGAAATCGTTTTGGATGGAAAGCAAAGGAAATTTCGTAAATATACGTTTGCATGTACACGCACCCTCTCGACAAGTTGCTACACGTCTGACTCGCAAAAACATAATCTTGCTCGCGCGTTATCTTCAAAAATCCAAATTTTCTTCCACTGGATTGTAATTGTCTCGTAATTTACAGCGCACAGATAACGATATGACTAAGAATTTGGAGTATAAACAGACATGGAACAGGAGGAACTTAGTGCAAAGTCTTATGGAAAAATTATGTGACTGAAGGTTTAGCAAGTTTTTTCTAAAAATTTTGCTACCGCAAAATGACAAAATGGCTCGTTTGCAACGCACAGATGACGATATGACATGTAATCTGGTGTGTATACGCGCTTAGGGCTAAGGAACAGAGTATGAAGAACTATGAAAAACTTATGTGAATGAAGAGCGTGCTTAACTTTCAAATTAGGTGGGCAATTGCCCACCCAATGCCCACATGAAATAGGCAAAACTTCCGTTTTGCATAAGTTTTTCAACACTTTTACACAAAACTGTTCTACACCTAAAGTTTAATATATAGTGACATTTTGGTTCCGAAAATCCTCTTCTCATCCTTGTTAGGATCCAAAATAGCAACGACGCGGGTCCGTTCGAGGAAGAAAGCGCGCTCCAATTGAACAACCTACGCAGCTGGTGGGATCAAGTGGGAAATCGTAAAAATGCATAGAGGCAAAGGCGGAGTCGTTTCATCGGTGGTCATTTGCCACCATTGTGCTAGCCCTGATTGTGACCTTTTGTTCACGAATTCTGCAACCAAAAACGAAAAAATGTTTCAGGCATTTACGTGTGTCACTTGTCAGTTTTTAACACAATGATGACGACGCCTAATGTTGCGTGGCGGCGGTGCGGGACGACGCGATTTTGCAGAACACTCTCGGTATGGGAAGATTTTGTGGTTACTTAAGAAATGCAATGTTGTTTTGTAAACATCACAAACATTTTCTTGAACGACGGAGTCTAGAGGCCCCAAAAATGTAAAAGATTGGAAAAAATACTGATATGTGAAAAAGATACTAGATCTACAAATAATATGACTTTTCAAGAGGTTTGGGCCAGTGTTGGTCCACATCGTCCTTGGCAGCAAAAAGTGCGTGGGCCACCAGTGGTCCACATTGTCATCAATGGGTCGAGCAGTCTATATCGCTGAATTTGAGCATTTATGGACAAGGGTCGCTATCAGAATTGTGTGTATGTGACCATTCTTTTTTATATCATGATTTTTCGAAAATTCGATGATTTCTGGCTACTTTCCTATACCACTTTATTGCTATAGGTTTTTGAACAAGCAGAGTTACCATCCAATCCTCCTCGGTTACTCTTTCCGGTGGTCATACGCTAATAAATGGATTTTATCTGTGACACTTCTACAAACCACTTGTAGACGTTGTTTACGAGCTAATACAAACCGTTACGAATACCAAAATTATTTTAGCCAACTTTATAGTTTTCCGAACTCCTAACTAATATTATTCTTCATTGACACAGACTTTTCTCACGAATTTGTATGAGGTCATAGATGGAAATTTTGCAACATGACCGACAAAAGTTTCTAGCAGTACCTATTACTGCTGAAAATTCCTCCCACTACTTCACTGTTACTAAAGACCCCAATAACGCAACTTTGGACTCGTTTCATTATGTAAAGAAAAGACAAGACATATCTGTCTGAATAGACCACAAAATTAGCTTTAATGTGGATGTGATTCGCTTAGAACTGATGATGCAAAATTACTAGGAAAGAGTTTGTGTTGGCTACAAATGTGGTTGAGCTTTTTCAAACTTCGTTCAAGGCGAGTGCCTACCTGGTGCGGGGGTTAAGGGGGCACAGGCAAGGAGGAATTCGGGAAGAATTGAAAGGAAGATTAGCGCAAACATTATTGCAATTGCGGTCGCAGCTGAGGCACATATTTGAAGACCTGTATATTTGCAAACATTGACTGTTGCTATTAAAGTCTCAGTCTTGTCATGCTATAATTATCTGGAATCGCATTTGAAATTCTTCTTCATCATCACATACACATCACATCAACTGACGATTCATCAGGACATTTGGTTGTTTTTAGCATGGCATTCTGATGCTTACATTAAAGTTGGAAATAAACTTCGCTTTTGCCATTTCTATAGCTGACTCATAAAATAACCTCTGATTTTATCAATGATGGAAAAATTACTGAAATTTTTTTGGCATGGGCACATGGATAATGTCGTATTGGCGGTTATCCGTGATCCGAATATAATCACACCGTGCCCCGATCGACACTGGACGAAGAATAACAATGACCCCATGCTTATAGCAGAGTTATCACGCGGGGTAGAGGAACGAACACCCCAAGTCACCGCCTCGGCGAGCTGCTGGTCCTATCGTTCTACTGTTGTGCATCGTGTTGGGACCGGCGGCGTGGCAAGAGTTCCCAAAGCCAAGCCGCTTTTTCTCGCAGGGGTACTTGGCGCCTCCAAAATCCCTTGGAGGACATCACACCTTCTCGGGTCAGAGGGCGGCTCCGCCCATCACTCCTCCCTCTAGGCGCCCTCATTCTAAGATGTGTACACGCACGCTAAGACGTGCTTCATTGTATATGATAATAATCGAACTGAAATCAAGAAACAAACAAAAAATTCTAGGTTTCTATGAGGATACAGATTCCGTACATAACTGCAGCTAAATTTCAGCATTTCGAGTCATGTTTTAGTCATGTTTTCGGATAAAATGACGCTTTCTTAAAAACTTGTAAGTACTCGCGTTTGGAGTTTGTGAAGCATATCATATTAAAACAAAGTAAAAATACAAATTATTAATAGAAATCAAGCAGAAGTGAGTCTTCCAGGTAAAGATATAGAAGCGAAAGCAAATTCACGCACGCTCTAAAATTCATTTAAGAATATACGAATACCATATTTTTCAAATTTAGTGTCGTATTTGGAAATCTTAGCCAACTGTTGATCATGCGACAAAGTTTGTTATTTTAGTAGATCGATTATAGGGAATACTACACCCCGAAAATTTCTGATAATTTGGATTTTATTGATCGTTAGTGTGTAGTTGAGCTAGAATATATGATGGCAGACGGAAGCAGGAAAGTGTATGTTTTCAAATATCCTAGCTATTACAGGAAACGTTGAGTTGATTATCTGGAAACTTTGATATGCTCCTTTCAAAATAGGTTCTTCTAATTTTGAGAAGGTAATCGGGTTCTTGGCCACTTCTGGTCACCCATTTATCAAAATTCTTGGTGCTAAATCAGTTCAATCAGATGACCAGTAAGATACAACTGAAGAACTAGATCCTCTGATATTTTGAATGGGAGGGTTTTCTACTCAAAAAAATTCTGTGCAATTTTTCTCTTCTAAGGATAATGTTCATGTATTCATTTTTGAAAGGTTGGCGCAGCAGACGTTTCCCAGGCCTCCTCACCTGAGGGATGATAACTATGTTTTTTGTTCATCTCCATGTTTTCTCATATTACCTAATAAGTGAATCTATGTTCTCGCTGCTGGCTCACCTCACAATGAGACCAGTGAATGGGTGGAGCAATGGGCGGAGACTGACCTCTGAGGCGCGAAGGCGCTAGAACCCTCCTGGGTGCGAATGCTGGTGCGAAGTTGGTGCGAGGAAAGGTGCTAGGAACTCCTGCACGCCCTCCGTTGGGACCGGTAGTCCGCGGAGGATGCCTATTGAGGTGTTCGTTCCTCCACGCATTCAGATCGTAAAGGCAGCGGCTCGGCAGAATGACAAATTTGGGATATTCATCGTTCTCGGTTCCCCTGGATGAGCTAAGTCCAACACTGTGCTTTGCAGCTTCAAAAGATATCAAAAACCCGCTTTTCCAGACGTGGAAAGTGCCTTTCAAGCGGACCGCGTATCATGCTCTCTAGAGCGCGATTGGCTTGTGAGTGGAGACACTGTACTTACCTACACGAGCCAATCGCGCTCGAGGGCAGGATACGCGGTCCGCCCAAATAGCACTTTTCACTTCTGGAAAAGCGGGCTTTTGATATCTTTTGAAGCTGCAGAGCACAGTAATGGACTTAGCTCGTCCAGGGAAACCTAGAACAATGTATATCCCAAAGTCGTCATTCTGCCGAGCCGCTGCCTTCAAAGGCAGCAGCTCGCCAAAACCGAACATTCCGAAATTTTGACGTAGAAGGTTGCTGCATCCCAAACATGACAACAGAGCAGGTCCGAGCGCATAGCATTCTGCCTCTGCCTAGAAAACCCCGATACGCGCAAGCCATTCTAATACGCGCGGACGAGCTTGCTCTCTGACCCGTCAGAGAGGGCATGCCGCCATGTTATAAATGCGAGGGTCGCAACGATTCTGCCTTTCTAACCATGGCGGGATGTGCTCCACTCGTCCAAATTTAAAATGGGAGGCCTTGGGAAATGGTGGTTTCTACCAATTTCGCTCTCTTCAAGGTGGATCTTCGGAATCAACGCCTCGAATTACCCGAGGTAAGCAAAAAAAAAACTTCAATTCGAGAATCTGCCGAGCCGCTGCCTTTAAGTTTTTAGATCAAAATGATTATTGTGAAGTCTGGTAAAACTCCAAGAAGTTTCCTTTTTCGTTTGGCATATATGTTTCTGTTCCAAATTCGAGAATGAGAGGAGGTATTCGACTTTGAGTGAGAAAGAGAGGAACAAAGCTACATTGCTCGCTCTACAAATGTCTCAAAACTGCTTGTGTTCAAAGCATAAAGACTTACTGAAAGCGAAGAAGAAAGCGGTCTCGACAACTTCCACCTTGATCTGCTCATGTACAGAACTTACAGGGTTTTTTATTCTAGCAACCTGCAAACTTTTTGAAATTTGTCGGCACACCTTTTCACCGAGCACGTTGAAACAGGAATCCAGGTAAATGATATAAATAACACCGCAGTGGACACAAGTGTCTAAACTCCTTTCTTGAGACGAAAGACGAAATTTTTGAGAGATCAAATTGTTTCTACAATTTCTTAGAAGGTTTCTCACAAGCTATTCTAGGCCCTCTCTCCTTACTGAGGGAATTAAGCGCCCAGAAAATAAAAACTCCTCTAAAAGAAGGGAGGAAACGGTTTCAAATTTCTGAAAGCAGAGAATGGTCGGTTTCAATATATTCTTATCGCTGGTGTTGTTCTTCTATAGAATTCCCATTTTAAGTTTGAGTTGTCAACATCACGGACAAATAGTACTTTTGCCTGGCACCTTTTTTCTGGATTTCATCGGAAGCAACGCAAATCCGCTTCTTCATCCCTGCCAATACTATACCACATTTGTAGACTTCAGTATTCGCATGATTAATATTAACCTCACGGTTAATTCTATGCACACTACACATCTCACTTCTGACTCATCAAAAACAAAAATGACCTGAATGTGCTTCCAAAATAACTTTCAATAACAATGACAAAGGGCAGCGTTACAAAAAAAATGAGGCAAATTGACAGGACGCTCTGTGTTTCGTTTGCTTGTTCATGACTCAGGAAGTACAATTATGATAAAATGTCAAATGCTTACGCTTACATGAGATATTTCGTCAAACAATTTATGCTATAGAATTCCTTGGCGCAAGGGCCACATGGTTTCTTTTCTATCGTCGTGCGTGCCATCACCTTTGTAGTGAAAAAAAATCTAAAAATCAAAATGAAAACGAACAAACAAAGAAGATGCACATTTCAGGATTCAAACATATTTATCGGACTGCAACAAAGAGCTCATAACATGGCAAAATGAAAACCATTGGCAAACGCATTATTCAAGTACATGTTGTAACAAACGAGACAAGATAACTCGAATCTTCGGCAAAGGGCATTAAAAATGAAAAGTAAAACATAGGCTAGTAAATCTGACGGTAAATAACCTAATGAAACCTTGTCGACATTGGCCAACAACATTTGCGTGTATATAAATTCATATGCGTGTACTGCCGGTAATTTGCGCTGGCAAATCGGCCGCAGAGCGCACCTTTTTGACTTCTGCGCCCTCTGGCAACTCGTTCACGCGCAAATGTTGTCGGCAAATATCTATGGCGCATGGACGCTGCATTTACCGTCACACGCACTTGACCATAAGTCATCATTTAATGAGTACCCATTGACTTTTTTCAAAAAAATAATAACTACTTTATCGATAGCCGTCATCTAATCGATGTGCGTATTGCTGCGGCATGAAGCTGCCATGAATGGGTGTACAAGATGACCGTCCCGCTGTGCCTAGTGATGAAGAGTAGACAGAGTAGATATCGATTGAGGTTTCCTGAAAATACTCTAACTTGATTTTACGTAATGCGAGCAAAAGGCTTTATGAAGAATTACCTTTCTCATCCTTAAAAGCTTATAGCCTAGATAAATAGCCACACATGCAGAAGTGAGGCATAGCATCAAAAGCACAGATATGAAGAAAATGAGCGAAGAGGGAAGTCTTGATGCTGTCATTAGGCATTGCTCTGATGATCTAGATGTCACTGAAAATATAGCTCAGATTTCGAATTTTCAAGTACTGACCGTTTTGCACGACCGTAATGCCTTTTTGATTTCAATGCGGGAAAGAAGCCGCACGCAACACACTCTGTTGATTGATAGTGCAGCGTACAGATCTGCACAGTGCAGCGGCTGCGCCAGCGCAGTGCCAACCCTGTGCTGGCCCGCGCACGAGCCCTATATTAATCGGTCGACGCTAGCACGGTGCTGGCATGGCGCGGACGCGGGTAATGAAAGTTTTAGCGCGCGACGCACTACGGCAAACTTAGGGTTGCTGTAGCAAAAAAGAACGTTTCGTTCTATTCGTAAGAGTAGAAAGTAAGATATGACTAGTAGATTTTTTCTTTTGTTGGAAATCAAAAAATCGTAATGATGTTGGTTTTTCGTCCTTTTCATTTTTCTACTCTCTCTGTCTCTGGTCTAAATCACAATGATTACCTTCTTCTGTTTCCAGCTCATCGAGAATCGTTAATGACTCGCGTACAGAAACTTGTTCGTAGAAATCAGTCTTACTGTATGGCAGCTTTGGAGACCTTCGATGACGGAATCGAAGCCGCTCAGCCGTCAAATTCGAGTTCGATATCCGTTTGAAGCAGTTCTGTATAACCATGTTTTTGTTCTTTATCAACTATGGTAAAATGGTGACTGGCAAGCAAAGTTTCCACTTACCTGTACACATTCCGCTCCATCAAGACATACTTGTACTGTGCATTGAGCAAATACCGTGCTTTGATTGCCGAAACGAAACGTTTTGAACTTGGAGAAGTATACCTCCTCGTTGACGTTTGCCAGCGGATCAATTATCTCCGACATTTCGGCTACGGGGCAGCTAAAACAATGTTTTGCTCCATGAGCAGGTATGGACCATTTTCGGACAAAGAAGATGTTCATATAAGTTAGTGGGTCCGAACGCATTAGATGGGAGGCTATCGCTATTTAGGCTCTCAGCATTATGCGCTCCAAGGATGAGAGCCGCCGTTTGCGCCCGCGTAGTCAATGTGGGACGACCGCCTTCGTCCGAAAATGGACTCTAATTACCAACCTGCTTTGCACGAATGTCAGATGCCGAGCATCCGGAGAAAGCATATCTTCTCTATCGCTAAACATGCATTCTTTCGGTGAGATACCATGGTAAGCTTCTGGAAGTAATCATGTTCACTAAAGCTTTTTTTCCCTTTCTGTTTGACTTACTATCAGGAGTGAGAGCCACGTAAAATTCCACTGTATCGCCGAATTTTGCAGTTCTTAGCGGCCTGCCATCAATGCTTCGAAACATCATTTCAACTTTTGGCTTTGGCTTTCCTCCAGTAGAAGCAAGTACCTCATGTGCACTGAAATTATATGCTTGTTGAAATTCACGGCGATGGCTGCCCATAAAACTAACGTTGAGACATCGCTGTATCTGATTGTTTGTACACTTCGTGTGTATAGACAGAATACATGGTTAATTCGTATGATTTTCGAAGCGCTAGTGTCGACATTATCCTCGAGAGCTATTGTAGTTTCAGCTGTTCGGTAATTCGGTTCCTAAAAGAACATAGGGATCAAGAACCACATTTCAGTCTTCTGTTACACCACCAGTCACAATTTAGTCTTGGGGAAACTCCAGTTTAAAATCCATCATGATACAGTCTATGTCAATCACGTGCTCCTTTTCCGTAAGCACAGTCGACACGTCAGAACTTCGCGCCATGTTCGCGCGCGTACGGGTTGCGCATTCAACTAGCCTCATTGATTGACGGTCCGCACGCTAGGCCCTCTTGTTTGACACAAACTGTAGTCATCTCAAGCAGATTCTTCCTGTGGGTGATAAGTTTTTGGAGCAAAAAGTTTTGTTCCCACCACAATATTCATGTTTTCTCCCATAGTTTAACTTTACCATCCATTCTATTAACACAAACAATTACGAGAAAAAATTCCTGCTATTTTAGCATTCATACACACGGCTAACCATCACAGGTGTCAGTGCGCGGGAGTCATTTTGTAAGCCAGAGATCGAAGATAGCAAGGAGACGCAAGCATAGGATCTGAAGCGATATGACTACGGTCGCTATGGAGCGAACCAATGCGAAGCGGCGATGCATCATCCCAGATTTTCACCTTTCCGATTGAGACAGACTGGTTTGCAGGTCTAACAGAATATTATGTGTTATTTGAAGGACTTGGCAGATTATTTACTCCCGACAAAATAACTTGATCCCAAAACTTTCTACGATAGAATTCTATCTTATACATAAAGCTGAATGTGTGTGTGTCTATCTGTCTGTACGTATGTGCGGAATAGAAATTTTTATTTTTAAACCGATTTGGACCAAACATGGACATACACTTCGGGGCAGGAAGCGTGTTATAGGCTACTTTTCGTTATCGATCGATGTCGATTTTATCGATTTTTATCGATTTTTTGTCAGAGTTCACCTACAGGGCTGGGAGTTGGCACGGAGGGGTAAGTGAGCATGGCGATTCCGAATACAGTATTAGTTTTCAGAATTATCGATTACTTTTATCGATATTATCGATTTTTTCAAATTTGAGTTGAAGGGCTGGGAGTTGGCAGAGGGGGGTAAGTGGGCATGCTGATTTCAAAAACAACACAGGGAACGGGAAATGAGGTGTAGAAGTGGGCACAGGGAAAGGCTTTACATGATAGGGATGGGAACTTTATTACAGTGTTTTGACAGGGCCGAGAGGACCCGGGTAAGCAAGCTAGTCTGAAATAATGCTCACCAGATCAGCTAGATGAACATCGCAATGCTTTCCATAAGGAATTGAAAGATTATAGTTTTTCTGTCCTTTATCATTCTTCAGCGATGTACCACAAGGAACAAGTGTCTTATGGCCATAAACGTATACCTGAATATAGGATTTCACTCAATCATAGTAAGTTCATAATTCATAGACTGATGTTTACCACGGGTTGTGCTTTTGGATCGCTCATCCAGCGTGCAATGTCTGGATCTGATCTATTGAGTATAACAGTCAAGCTCTCCGATGAACAAGCAACTTCCTCGACTAAAGCACGAAGTTTAAAGAATAATGAGCAGTTGTTATACTTATACTTTGACTTTGAATGACAAAGCACAGGATCAATGACAAGAAAAGACCTTCGAGAAGTCTAAAACGGATGTCAATGAATTCAGATTTCTTACCAAATCCATCTCCTTGTGCTCTAGATATGAAGGCGAACAATGCCAACAGCAGCATAGCAGCTGAAAATGGCATATGAGCGATATTACTCAAGATGGCACAAAACAGAATGGTATTCCTGGTAATTGACCAAGTTGAAACTCAAGTCCTGCACCAGAAATTAAAAATCATATAAAAAGGCTTGAGCAACGCTTCAAACTGCACAGTAATTTTTCTACATTATGCAGTATTTTTTTTATTAAAACGATATCAAAACTCGATAATAAAAATTTGAGAATTACCTTGCAGAGACGTTCTATCAGCACGAATTTATTTTACTCAAAAAGTATGGAATATTGAACTAGAATAAAAAGTAAATACAAAAGTTTCTAGGTTTTTCAGCATTTAGGGATTCAAAATTGACGCGATTTGAAGGTTTGCATTCGATAGGTTCCTTTGTGGCGACATGAAAGTGATGATTCTTGCTTTGTGAACATTTAGAAAGGACTTTTTCTCTTCATAGACTAGGTTATTTCAAACAGATTTATAGATGAAGGAGAATACGATATTTTGGAAAATTTTTTGCAAGATTTACCATCCTAACACATTCAACTCAGACAATCAAGGGTTCTCAGCCGGCCCCACCAAAAGCGAGTCTTCGATTGGTTGAGAATCTCAATTTACCACCGGTGACTGGCACACTGCTAATATATCAATGCCTTGAAACCGGAAACTTACGACAAGTGCGCGTGTGCACAAAAAAAAGGGATGAATTTTGAATATACCCTTTCGGTCCATAAAATATCAAATGTTAATGCAGATTTTCATGTACGCTTTATATGGTTTGGTAATTAGTCTGTGAAGACACCGTTTTTATTCTACAGTTGGCTAATCTAGAAATCTTTGAATTTGAGACGAAGAGCAGACAATGTCGGTACATTGAATCGTTCTGGGTTCACTACCAGTCAAAAAGAATAATGGTAGGCAAAACTGCAAACAGTTTTGAAGCAACTTTTCTTCTTCTTTCCCGCAGCTAATCTTCCGGCTGTTTTGAAAACAGACACCCCTTAAGTTTTAAGCTCATCATCTTTGCGCTGTCTAATCTCAGCAGATTCTCAAGCCTTTTATTTTAGGCTTTTGGGAAGGTTTGCCCACATAACACGATTTGCCAACCTGCCCCATAACTTACCCCTATCTGCATGTTATCAGTATTAAAGATAGGTAGGACGAGCCTTCCTTAGTGCAAAATTGCTCTTTTAAATCGCTCATAAAGAATTCTGAAAGTTGCCTTATGTTTTCTTATTGTTTAAGTACTTATAATTGCAAAAAAAACGAGAAAAAGTCCTGTATTAAATGAGCTCTACATAATCAGCGAATCAAGTTCAGTAAGATCGAGTTTCGGACCTTGAAAATCCGTCCGAAAACTTTTTGATGACTATCATGCTTATGCATTTTGTATTATCGCATTATTGTATTCATTACGAAAGTTTGCGATCTGTTTCTCATCAAATCTTCTCTAATAGCCTATGGATCTTTAGTAAGTGGCTGAAGTTGAACAGGGCAAAACCAATATTTGAAGTGACGATTAGCTGCTGTAATTAATTCGAGATTGTAGGGTGAGAAGAGGTTGAAAACAATCGTAAAATGTAAAAAAAAGTTTGTGTACCGTCATTCTATGTTTAGCGATAAATCCGAGAAAAATATCAGCTTTAACTCAAGAGGTGAGGCTACCTAGCCTCTAAAAATCTTCAAGCGTGATTTTACCAAGAGCTTTGAATTTCGCAGACTTCTGGCTCAACTCTCTAGCATCAACAAAGGCTGGATATAGCAAAGATGGCATCAGGGAATTTGATGAATACATACGAGGCTGATGAGACCACCTCGGAACTGTCAGGTTAGTCCATAAAGTTGAGCGAGAAAGCCAAATACAATATCGTCCATATAGTCTTTGTTCTGGGCTCTGTTCATCGTCAAAAGCATGAATAACGTATTTTGAGCAATGTATGCGGAGACATGAAAGTATCCTTATCCTGATCAAATTTAGGCCAGGGCTCGGCACGAGGTGGCTAGATGAAAATGGAAAAAACGAAGTCCCCCTTGACTTTTGGAAATTTTTACGAAGTCCCCTTTGACCCTGAACCAAATTTCTTCTAAAAACCTGAAAAATTCCCGAAAATCCCCCAAAAAACGAAACGTCGACTAAAAAAAAAAGGTCGCCGTCGTCAATTTTCCGTATGTCTTCGCTCATAAAAACGAAACCCCCTTTGCTTTTCGTTCCAGAAACGATATCCAGCTTGCTTGTAAGCCACCTGTGCCGAGCCCTGATTTAGGCGGGTGTGCTGGCTTTTTATAAAGTCATAAAAACGAGCATCCTAGTAAGAGTATTTTGTGAGGAAGTGAGAATGAAAGAGAGAGTGGTTTTTGATGTTGTTATGAAACGCTGGATCATGGAATTCAAGTTACATTTCTATCAGGACAGCATAAGTTTTGTTACACTTAATCTTAATAAAAAGAATCCCATAACTCCTTGAAATATTTTTTCCCATCTTGGAATTGCTTGGGCAATGTAGTTTTTTGGCATAAACATATATCCTTTAGAAAATGAAATTCTCAATTTTCTGAACTTTTTTCGAATTATTTTGGCAGACTTCCAACCTTCGTTATGAAGATTCCATAAAAAATCTAAAAACGTGAAAAAGAAGCATAAGAAAAGTTCTAGGAGAAAGAGAAATGGAGTCTGAAGTGCAGTTACATAATTGCTTTTTTATTAGGTCGTTTCGAAAGTTCTTGCGCACGATTTTCAAAAACTCATAACTTCTAATTTTTCCAACCGATTTGACTGCCTTTATTTTTGAATGAAAGAGTAAGTCATGATCTTTATAAGGACATCTTAGCTGCTTACTGATAATCTGCTGCATAGATAGGAGCGATAGAAGAAAATTAGTCCAAGTTTGAATTTTCTTTGAAAGGTCATAAAAAATCGGAAACTTGCAACAAAAATCGGAGCAGTCGGGATTATAGGCTTTTCTCCAGCTTTTTCTAACAATGCAAACTTTGCGCCGATTGAGCGTCTCTATGAAAAGCTATGATTTTCGAGCAAGCAATACAAAAGGGCGAATTTGATTTATTTTGGCATTTTTCGGGGAAATCATAACTTTTTATAGAGACGCTCAATCAGCGCAAACCTTGCACTGTTAGAGAGAGTTGGTAAAAGAACCTACAATAACGACTGCTTCGATTTTTGCTGTAAGTTTCAAATTTTTTGTGACCCTATAAAGAAAATTCGAATTTTGACTGATTTTCTTACCGCTCCTATCTATGCAAAAAATGTTCAGTAGTAAGCAGCTTAGAACTCACCATAAAGAGCATGACTTACTCTTTCACATGAAAATATATGCAATCAAATCGGTTGGAAAAATCAGAAGTTATGATTTTTTTGAAAATCGTGCGCAAGAACTTTCGGAACGACCTAATATTTACAATAACAACTGTCTGCAGAGGTGAAAGTTATGCCAATGGATAGCCCTCTTTTCTCTTCCTCGGATAAGCCATTATGAAACTTTGCCAGAGTTTTCAGAGTTATGAAAGTGTAAAAAAATTATGTCACATAATAGTTGAGGCAATATCTGTTTACAGCGGTATGGACGACATATATAAGAAATCTCATAGAAAAAGTGCACACGCTAGTCTTCAGATGCATAGTTGAAAATTACATATGATCTAAGTTCAAAGCAGGCAATTTTGAAATGTAAGTTGAACTTGCTATGACCCCATTTTTGCTCCTGTAAAGTGAAAGCGTTGGAAAGTAAAAAAAAAATCGTTCATTATGTAGGTTCAGGAGGTCCAGAAGAACTAGTAGCTTTGAATAATTCTACCGATCTTAAAAGAAAATCGCTTTACCAGAACAGCTTGTACAGTTACTGAGCACAGGTGAGATGTTGCACAGACTTGGTTACTCCGTCTTTTTGCTTGAATTACAAAGTTTGATACTAACGACGATAAAATTTTAAACTTTTTTGGTGCCTCCCTGGTACACTCGAGGTCATCACAAGCTTGTTATTTGCCGCTTTACCGTAATCTTGAGCGCGAATGAGCTAGAACAAAATCGAGGATGTGCTTAACGTTCAACAATTGTATCGGTACCATTTTCAGTGATAACATGTAAGTGTACTACTGCATCGGTTCCACACTATTCTCATCGAACTGTACCTGCGCAAATTAATTGAGGCTTCAACATGAGTTTCCAGCATTTTGATAAAACCCTAATAAAATTATTTTCAAAGAATTTTAGTAATTCCAAGTGTGGAGCACTTAATCTTCTTAAATAGCCAAAAACGACAATGGATAGGTGAATTACTTTAAAATGTGATGCAAATTTCAAAACTCTATGAGTACTCGAGACAAAACCGCGATTTATGAGAATTACTGAAGTTTTAAAACGTTGGGTCAGATATTTAAGTGAAATGTCTCTCTTGAGATCCAAAAAAACGACAATGAACAATTATGGGTATGCGATCAAAGGATTTATGTGTTCAACGAACTATCTGGAGAGAGCTGTTAAAGTGAAACAAAATACCAATTTGCCATTTCAATTTTCACCAAACACTGAAGTGATCGTCTTCGATTGGTCAGGAGTAGAATGTTCAAGTTCAATCAAGGTTCAAAGTATTAAAATAAAAATGGGCAGACAAATCCATACTATGACAAGAAGATGAAATGGTATTCACATCTCGTTTTTGGAGGATGGCTTGTAGATATACCATGATGTAAGAACATTTGAAATATAAAGCTGTAAATTCTAAGGGTTAATGGGCACTATACATGTACCTGCTATGTACTCCTTATGGGCTTACATACACTAGGACAAGTTTTGCAAAATAGGGCACACTCAAATGCTTTGGGATGTTCAGAAGGTGCAGAACATTTTTTAGAAGGTTTCCAACAGAACTTTTGAAATACAATATTTTGGGATATTTAAGGACGTAACGCTTGCCTTTAACCTATACGATCAAGAGTTACCGTATCCTATCAGTTACCGTACTACACAGCAACTGGTCAAGTCACTCGAAAGCAACCCG